CCTCACACAGGCCCTCATACTAGTCCCCACAGTGGTCCACATGGTGGTCCACACAGTGGCCCTCACACAGGTCCACATGCAGGGCCTCATACAGGCCCACACAATGGCCCACATGGTGGTCCACACAATGGCCCTCATGGTGGTCCTCATGGTGCACCTCATAGTGTACCACATGGAGGTCCACATAATGGACCTCATGGTGCCCCTCACAGTGGTCCTCATGGTAGCCTTACACATGGTGTCCCTCCAGGTGGGCCAGGAGGTCCAGCACAATGGAATGGTCCTAAAGATATGAAGCAAGGTGCACCAAGTGGACCTACTGGATGGGAGGAGCCTTCCCCACCCTCACAACGACGGGATGATGGCACTGCTGTATGGGGCAATCCACAGCAGCAAGCTAATGTCTCAAGGTGGAAGGATATGCCTACTCCCAACATGATGGGAAGGCCAGGCATACCTGGGCCACAGCCAGGACGTATGCCGGGACCACCAGTTCCATCAGGAATAAAACCAGATCAGCGAATGTGGGGACAACATGGGTAAGTAGACGTATCCATATGTGGTTTTTGAAACTGCTACTATTTTTGCAATATAAACTTTTTGTTAAATTAAATTTTTGAAAATTAATGGATCACTTTAGGAGAAATGGCAGCTGGAGTGACCCCTCTCACGATACGGGTAGTGGCATGTGGGGGGAGGATCCAAAATCAGCTGGTTGGGGTGAACAACAGATAACATCACCAACATGGGGCACAAAACCGAAGACCCCAACAGGAGGCCCTGGCGGTCCTGTTGGTTGGAATGAAACTGACATGGAACTTCAAGGCTGGGGACACCAAAATAAGGTAAGATGCTTAACAGGATTAAGGAAAGTAAAGCCACTTGGACTAGCTGGGGCTGAGACATTAGCATTTCAGCTGTGCAGATATTATCAGGTCTGTGGATTAGTATTTAGGTGTGTGTGTTTGTCACTTACTTGCATTTATGATTGGAAACTCGCTCCATTAACTTGGATTTATCTATAACGACTGGTACCTATAAATAATGGGACAATAACTACTAACTGTCTATCAAGGTTTACTTAGTGGTTCTTGTAGGCAGGCTAGTAAGTGCATGAGTAGTTGAGGAATGTTCATCACAATGTTCAGTGTTTATCTAGCAGGAAACTCATCAAAAATCACAAAGGAGAAAATGACTGCATGTTAATCTTGGATAAATGATGAGAATGACCCAAAATCCAAATTTATCTTCATTGGCACTCTAGCTGTCCTCATTCAACAAATGACACATTCTTCTCCTACTATAACACTTGATAGGCCATATTTACTCTTGTAAAACCATGAGAAAGAAGGATTACTAAGGTAGAAAGATTTAAATATATTGTTTGTCCATTTGCTTTAGCTAGAAATTAAGAAAGAACTAAGCAACTTTAAGGTTGTGAAATTGCTGTTGAAATTGTATAGTACTGTATACTTCTCAGAGATATATAAAAGTTTATAGTGTATTGTATTGTACTTTGTTAAGAAAATGTATCTACTTATATTAAAATAATATTTAATATATCCAGATAAATATCTAATAGCTGATGTAATATTTTGGTTGACTGCCTGAGTGCAATAATTGAGTTAAATGATGGTGTGTGTTTTATTGAAACTGTTATTGCTTACTGATAAAATGATTCTGATGTACTGATTTAGTATTGAAATATGTTTATGATATAACCTTCAAACTGTGATTGGAATTTTGAAATTAATCAAAAGTAGAAATATTTGGAAGTTAGATAAGCATTCCATTAGCTCTCACACAAGACTGACTTAAATTGTTTTACAATTCCAGTATTAATAATATTTGAAATAATTGATTTCTCAGAGCACGTAAGTTTCATTTGAGCCAATGTGTATATTTTGAAGGTTTGAGCCTTGATTATGTTCACTTTGTAATGGCATAATGAACTTATCAAGTTTAATGATTGAAACAAACTAACTTAATGCCAGGGCTGTTTAGTATTTTGCTTATATTTTAATGTAATTTTGCTGAAATGGAAACTTAGATTATATGCTGATCATCTGAAATTTTAAGTTATACAGTATTTATACAAGTGTCAGTGTTGATAAAATTTATGTAAAGATAGTGACTAATAGTAATTTTGCACTTGCCAAAATTAAAGGGGTGGAGATATTTTACTGGATGTATTATATTAGAGTTTGGCTTCGCTAACACCTGTATTATATTTGGTGGGCTTTACAAGGAGCACACAAGATTTCTCATTTTTTTTGTACTGATGTGGCCAAAGTAGGACATATGTAATAGAGGTTAATAATTAATATTACAGATGAGTGGTTACCCTCCTCTACTTGATCTCAGATCTCCCAAAGCTCTCATACCCGAGTCCCACTTCCCATTTGCTGTAAGTTGCCAGTACTCTCTCACCTTATGCCATATTTGGGGCTCTATTTGCTTACCAGCTTGATCTGTCCTTATTGTGTGGCTGTTGTCTGCTTGTTGTGTCCTAGACAATGCCAGAAGGCTATGCTTACCACAGATATAAGTCTCTCACTTTGTGGAAAAAATTATCATAAAACTGTAATTGCCTTAGCTTACTAGCTAAGACTGTTTAAATAGGGTAGCCAAATATTTCTGCAGTTCAGGAGATAATTTATCAAAATTTATTAATTGCTGGTGCATGCATATGAAACAAAAAGTTTTATATAGAGTACCCCAAGATAATGTGTATTGATTTTTTTTTTTTGTCCATTATATGATGAAGTGTCCTAATGGCCTTCAGATTTAAAAATAAATCATACAAGCCATGTTGCTGACAGTATTACATAGCATTGCTACATAATTGATGTTAGAGAAGCCAACTTTGTGTAGTATAAATGACTCACATCAAATATTTTATATATACTGTAGCTTTAATTAGTTTTCCTGATTATTGATTGGTAACTATGTTGTATGCTATTTGTGACTGGGCTTGGATGTGGTCGTTAGTGAGTAAATTCATTCTTATGAATATATATTTCTTAAGGTCTTACTACTATATTCTGCAAATGAATTTTCCACAGCAGGTTTCATTATTACCACCATTGAGTGAGTTACTACACAAATCATAATCATAATTGTCCAATACTGATATCCCATTGAGTGTAGTTCTGCATTTGAGCTTAGAATTTAGCGTTTATTCATAATGCCTGTATTAAGTCCTAAAACACTTCTACACATTGAAAATATATTTTTTAATCTAAATTAGCAGTATTTTTACATAGGAATGCAAGGACAAATTTTGACTCTGATAATTTGGGAGAAATGCGTCATGAAAAACACTAATAGAATTAGTGTATTACCCTATTATTTCTAGTTTTAAGAAAAACGTGCACACTGTAATATATTCATGACTTTCAGATAGAGATGTTTACAGTTTTTATTTCTTGAGTAGATGTTCCAATCAGAAATGACTTTTAAGGTTTTTATGGTGTTGTTTACTATTGAATTAGCTAGCTCTAGATAGCCTATATGAATTTACATAAAGCTTGACATACTTTTGTACTTGCAAAAAGCAATATAGCATAGTGTTTTAGATAGTACAGTTAAACCATGTGTACTGGAGTTTCCTTTCTGGAGTCTTGAAGAGCAGTGGTAGGGGTATTTTTTAATATAAATTTTTAAAAGCCAAAAACAAAATTTTTCACGTTGCTAGACCAATCTTTATTAAAAGTACGCGAGTCCGCCATAAATACCGAGTGATCATGTACCAGAAATCAGTGCACTCACTCCAAAAGAAAAAACTGCAATTCAAAAATTACTTATCTTGTTCAATGAACAAAAACTAGGAGCATGTCATATGTACTAGACAGTGGTATACAAAAAAAATACATAAATGCATTTGCTCAAGAAAAATTTGAGGTGATTCAGACTTTAAATTCAGTAATAAAATTTTCCTCGCCAATCTCCACATCATTGTCTGGTTCTAGTTCACACATTAAGCACACACCTCTCTCCTTCTCTTCCTCTGCTGCTCTTCCTCTGCTGCTCTTCCTCTGCTGCTCTTCCTCTCCCGCTCTTCCTCTCCGGCTCTTCCTCTCCGGCTCTTCCTCTGCTGCTCTTCCTCTGCTGCTCTTCCTCTGCTGCTCTTCCTCTGCTGCTCTTCCTCTGCTGCTCTTCCTCTGCTGCTCTTCCTCTCTCGCTCTTCCTCTCTCGCTCTTCCTCTGCTGCTCTTCCTCTGCTGCTCTTCCTCTGCTGCTCTTCCTCTGCTGCTCTTCCTCTCCCGCTCTTCCTCTGCTGCTCTTCCTCTGCTGCTCTTCCTCTGCTGCTCTTCCTCTGCTGCTCTTCCTCTGCTGCTCTTCCTCTCCCGCCTCCTCGCTCTTCCCTGCTGCTCTTCCTCTCCCGCTCTTCCTCTGCTGCTCTTCCTCTGCTGCTCTTCCTCTGCTGCTCTTCCTTTCCTGCTCTTCCTCTGCTGCTCTTCCTCTGCTGCTCTTCCTCTGCTGCTCTTCCTCTCCCTCTCCTATGGGATGCCACATAGTTCATTGTTGAGAACATTTGCTCACAATTTCAAAGTCCCAGTTTGATTCTCTCCATATGGATAAATCTTTCTTTCAACACACCGGCCGTATCCCACCGAGGCGGGGTGGCCCAAAAGGAGAAACGAAAGTTTCTTGTACATTTAGTAATATATACAGGAGAAGGGGTTACTAGCCCCTTGCTCCCGGCATTTTAGTCGCCTCTTACAACACGCATGGCTTATGGAGGAAGAATTCTGTTCCACTTCCCCATGGAGATAAGAGGAAATAAACAAGAACAAGAACTAGAAAGAAAATAGCAGAAAACCCAGAGGGGTGTGCATATATATATGCTTGTACACATATGTTTAGTGTGACCTAAGTGTAAGTAGAAGTAGCAAGACATACCTGTAATCTTGCATATTTATGAGACAGACAAAAGACATCAGCAATCCTACCATCATGTAAAACAATTACAGGCTTTCGTTTTACACTCACTTGGCAGGACGGTAGTATCTCCCTGGGTGGTTGCTGTCGACCAACCTACTACCTTTATATGGATAAATATATGGGCAAATTTCCTTACACCCCTGCCCATGATATAAATCTCATTCAAGAAAAAAAAAAAAAAGTTTTAGAAAAAAAACATTTGCTCACAATTGCAAGGTCCTAGTTTGATTCCCCCCATATGGATAAATATATGGGCAAGTTTCCTTACACCCCTGCCCATGATATAAATCTCATTCAAGCAAAAAAAAAAAAAAAAGTTTTAGAAAACTCCCATCCAGCTATATGTCATACACTATGTAGGGAAAAGACTCCAGACTTGTGTAAGAACCCCAGTACCTGCTGGAATTACAAATATGTTAAACAATAGGTACCCCAATCTCCTTCCCCTTCTCCCTCTTTTTTTCTCCCTTCCCTTTCCTTTTATTCTCTCTTTCCAAGTTAATATATGACCAAAATAAAATATGTAGGAGTAACATTTGAGAATTTCTCAAATTCATGAGGTTTATGTAGAAAAAACTCATCTGGTAAGAAAAAATTTAATCATAAATCTCTTGTTGATTCTCAGGATAGAGGGGATGGGGAAGGGTACAGAAAACTTGCAATGATCCCATGTTAGTTCACTAAACCCTTCGGCAAAAGACCTTAGCCAGCCAAGAAAGATGTAATCGGTAAGGAAAATTGGCTGTACCCCATTATGGAAGCTTTGGAAACTTTTAATTCTTCTGATATGAAAGGGTAGTTTATGGTACACTTTTTTTGCATAAATTACATACAGTTCTTGCACACCATAGGTTATATTATGTGATCTGCTGTATTGTTAGTTTTGTCTACTGTCCCATGAATTATTTGAAAAGGTTTTTTTTCTTTTTGTTTTTCTTTAATACAATGGTCATTTCCCTACTAAGGCAGTTATCAGCACTTTTATTTTTATTTTTTTTCAAACAACCTGTTATGTACTTGACATAGTGAAAGGTACAGTGCCTGCATTCTTATGGATGGGTGAAGATATTGCAGTTTTGAGTGGCATCTGAGATGTAATGTCGGCAGACCTCTGGCAAGACAGTGAAGAGTGATGGTGAAAACGTTCCTTCTTTTTTCAGGTCACCCTTCCTTAGTGGGAAATGGCCGGTGTGTTAAAAAAAAAAAATGGACTATTTTTTTACTGCTAATTTAGAGCACTGTATCCCCTCCTAATATCAGTTTTGGTAACTTGGTGGTCTATAAACAATGCTTCATCCAAATTGCTTTAGATTTCCTACACATATTCACCGTTTCATTTGTAACCTGTGGTAAAATTGTAAGCTCATCACATAGTTATTTATAGCTACAAACAGCATCAGTGATATATAAACCAGCAGCAGATGTGAGATTACAAGGGGTAGTTTGTGTGTCATAGATTGCTGTATATTGAGAATGAGATTTGAGAAAATGTGGTCGCAGCTGGCACCTTTAGTAGTTCTCTGGCAGTTGAGGAAGGTCTGCTTTCAGGTTGCAGACATAGAAATACCATGAACCAGGTTCTCTCATGGGGGTACATACTGGATTTAAATTAGTTTCTAAGTATAGTTTGTTACTGGTGGAGATGTTTTGAGTGAAGTGTAGGTTTTTGTACTGTTTTGAGTGGAGTGTAGGTGTTTGTGCTGTTTTGAGATGTTGCTGGATAGGTGGAGATAATGTTCACTTGGTGGAGTGCAGGTGTTGTTGGAGAGGTGATGTTGCTCGAGTGGTGGAGTGCAGATGTTGCACTCCATGATGGAGTGATGTTGCTCAAGAGATGTAGTGGAGATGTTATCCGAGTTGTGAAGTGTTGCCTAAATGGTGGAGTGATGTTGCTTGAGTGGTGCAATGAAGATTTTGCCTGGATGGTGAAGTGGAGATACTGATTGGTGAATGGAAATGTTGTTCAAGGAGTCACATGGAGAAGTTTCTCAAGGGGTGGAATGGCTACATTACTCAGGTGCAATGCAGCTTGAGGGGAAGAGAGTTAAAGGTATTGCAGTCTTTGGAGAGTAAATGTGGGGAAGTGTTGCCCATGGAGTGGAAGTGTGGGAACTGTGCCAGGGTTTAGTGTTCTCATCATTCTAGTCAGTTTAATTTGGATTAATGGTTTCTTTTTTAATTTAAATTTTCCTGAAATTAACTCTATTTTTAGAACATTCAAATAAATTATATACTGATCATCTGGAATTTTAAGCTAAACAGTATGTATACAAGTATCATTGATAATTAAATTAATGTAAAGAGGTTCTTTAACTATAGTAATTTTGTACTTGCCAAAATTAAAGGGGTGGAGATATTTTACTGGATGTATTATATTATAGTTTGGCTTCACTAACACCTGTACGTATTATATTTGGTGGGCTTTACAAGGAGCACACAAGATTTCTCATTTTTTTGTACTTGTGTGGCCAAAGTAGGACACATGTAATAGAGGTTAATAATTAATATTACAGATGAGTGGTTACCCTCCTCTACTTGATCTCAGATCTCCCAAAGCTCTCATACCCGAGTCCCACTTCCCATTTGCTGTAAGTTGCCAGTACTCTCTCACCTTATGCCATATTTGGGGCTCTATTTGCTTACCAGCTTGATCTGTCCTTATTGTGTGGCTGTTGTCTGCTTGTTGTGTCCTAGACAATGCCAGAAGGCTATGCTTACCACAGATATAAGTCTCTCACTTTGTGGAAAAAATTATCATAGAACTGTAATTGCCTTAGCTTACTAGCTAAGACTATTTAAATAGGGTAGCCAAATATTTCTACAGTTCTGGATATTATTTATAAAAAATAATGGTTGCTGGTGCATGCATACAAAATAAATTTTCTATTGAATAACCCCAAAATATGTATAATTTTTTTTCTTTTATATAATAAAGTGTCCCTTGGCCTTCAAATTTAAAAATAAATTTTATAAGCCCTATTGCTTGCAGTACTATATAGCATTGCTGCAGTAATTGTTGTTAGAGAAGCCAACTTTGTGTAGCATAATTGAATCTTAATTAACATCAAGAATTTTATATATAGCTTTAATTAGATTTTTCTTTTTTATGGATTGATAAGTATTTTGTATGTTGTTTGTGGCTGGGCTTGGTACTTTGTTCATTTACAGCATTCTTTACAACTGAATTTGGATATCCATACAGCCATTCTAAGTTCGTTTTATGAGGGCATTCAGACAATCTCTGTAACCAGTGTGTCACTACTTCAAACAGAAAGCTGAAATATAACGTTGGTATATGCAGTTACCACAGTATCACATGAAAAATAGCAAAGAACGTTTTATTCCCAAATTATAAATGTTACACAATACCGATAAATTGATGAGAAAGCTGCATGTGTAGCACTAATTGTCTTTATTGATGAAATATTTTGCCTATATTGCTGGCTTCATCAGTGGAATACAGGAATGAATACCCTCATCTTCTGTCTTCAGGATTGTAATTTATTCCCTTATTTGACTGATGAAGCCTACAGTGCAGATGAAATATTTCGTCAGTGACGATGCCTAGTGTGGAACATGCGTCTTACTCATTAAATTTATTCACAAAACCATGTGGGGATACCTACAGTTGAAAATTAAGTATTTCACTGTCCAGGAGGCTTGACTAACTTGCAGATAAATTTTACTCCAGAATTTTAACTTACAAATAAGTTGTTCTCCAGGAGTTTTAACTTAAAAACAAATTGTACTCCATGAGTTTTAACATACAAACAAGTGCTCCAGGAGTTTTAACTTAGAAACAGATTGTTTGTAAAGAAAACTGAGGAGGGAAGGTCGGGGATTCATTTTCAGGCAAAGAAAGGAGGGGAAAAGAAGAGGTAAGCTTGGAGGTTGCTGTTAGTGTTGGTGCTGGGAAATGGAAGCTAGTCAAGAGTTAGGTCAGCTGGGAAGGAGGGTTGTTGGTATTTTCATCAGGAGGAGTTGTATTAGTTTGACCCCTACCTCTACCTGCCGCTCTTCTCTGTGCCAAATGAAGAAGAGTGGCAGATGAGAGGCCAGGCATAGGGAGCACCCAAATACAAGGAACTTCTTGTGGGTGTGTGTATGGGTGTGTGTGCATGCATGCATGTGTATGTGCATGTGTGGAGTGGGTGGGGCTGATGTGTGTGGGTGGGGGGCATTTGAGGGAGTATGGGAGGTGTGGAGGGGTTGGGATAGGTGGGAGGCATATGAAGGAGTGGGAGAGCATGGTGGGGTTGGGGTAGGTGGGAGGTTGGGGGTGGTTGGAGGTAACAGTTAAGAACTGTTTTCTTGTGTGTGTGTTGGTGATGCTGTATGTCAGAAGTAACACTGCTGAATCACTTCAGCAGTGTATGCTGGCTGATGATTCCATCAGTGAAAATCTTCAGAACAGTAATGAAGAAAACTGCTAATATGACATTTTCTAAACAAACAGTACAGGTTGGTCATCACTAATCCGGCATCATCGGGACCTGTCGTGTGCCAGATTACAGAGTGGTTAGGTTAGAATACACTTAACCCAATGGCGATATTTATACATCAGTGATTTCACCCAATTTACACCCTATTTTTGGCCCATTCTATTATTCCAGTCTACCAAACTCAGCTATTTTGCTAGTATTCCTTCTGTAGTTCTGCTTAATTAAATTAAGCAAGGTTTATACAAACGTTGCGCTGAACCTTCGCTTCAGTAGAACTCTTGCAAGAACAGATCTTGTTTCTGGTTTGTTATACAAAATGGCTAGCTGGTTTATTATGCATTAAAACCCATCAACTACACGATAGTCTTTAAGGCCCCCAATGGAAATAAGTCACTTTGACTTTTTTGGGTTATCCTAGGTTCTCTACACATATGCTGCTATGTATGATAATCTAAGTAACTGTGTTTGTGTATACCTGTATAAACTTAATTTTATTCTGCCAACTAAATACAAGAAACCACCTATTCACCTATTTCAACTACCAAAAAAAGTGGTCAGAAATTGGCAATTTGGCCAATTTCACACAAATTTCAAAAGATGCCAATTTCAAAATAGGGCCCAGAATAAACACTGCAGACATTCCTGGCACTAAAATAACATTTTCTCTGTTCATTAGTCACGTCTCCAGGCCCCCCTCGTTTATTGCTCTTGCTTTCTATTTTGAATTTCTATTCACACAAAAAATAGAAGATTTACTGTTATGTAGACTACTGCATTGTTGTAATAATTATATAAATAATGTCAAACCATTCATGACTGTGTATTAGACTGGCCAGTTGGACACGCATTGGACGGTAATGTCATTTCTTTATTCTTGAACATCAGCAAAGAATCAAGCATTTCAGCTTCTTTGAGCTTAATTTCAAGGTACGTTTCGTTGTGAAACCAATCAAAATCATATCTATTTCTGCAGTATATCTTTGATTCTATCAAATGAGACCAAAAAAAAAAAAAAATGAGAATACAACTATAAAAACCATACAAAAATATACCTCTAAGGGGGCAGGTAATGGCTGAGAAGTGAAATCTGTTACTTATCGTCTGATTTCTTTCATTTTTGGTGTATGTTAAGAAGCATCTTTTCATCATACATTGCCTAAGTTTCAGTAAGATAGTCCAACAAACAACAAATACAGTTACGTAGATTATTATACATAGCATATGCATAGAGAACCTTGGATAACTCAAAAAAGTTTGTGACTTATTTTCATTGGGGTTCTTTTATGTTGTCTGTGAAATTCATTGCATTCCTATCATTATTAATGCCGCTATGTTAAGGTATAAATTAATGACTTCCAAGATAATCAACGAAAATTGGCATAGTATGTCATAGTTAGCCCTGTACTGCACTATGTTTTCTCTTAATATAAGCCCCCCAAGACAGGGATAGGAGGGTGGTACTTTTGCAGTTGCAGTACTGTACTGTTGCAGTTTAAAAACTGTAGTGTAAAGCACCCTTCTGGCAAGACAGTGATGGAGTGAATGATGGTGAAAGTTTTTCTTTTTCGGGCCACCCTGCCTTGGTGGGAATCGGCCAGTGTGATAATAAAAATATTATTTCTGGAGTATTTACTATATTTTTATATTATTTATATTGTTTATTATGTCATATTAGATCAATTGTGATAGGTAAATAAACCGTAGTGTTAATGTTAGCGTAATAATAAAGCATATTCCCCCACATCACGAGACTCAGGAGCTCATAGCAACCAACATTGGCTTCAAAGCCACCTTATCTTTTATGGACAATGTATGGTGTAGGTGCTTTACACAACGAGAAGCATTTATTTTATTCATTGGAATCATAGCTAGGGCTAAAAATGAGCAGGTTATAACAATAAATGGAGAAAAAGAAATTCAAATCACGTATGCAGCAAGTAGCGCCACCAAACAGTAGCAGCAGGTTGGTGTGGCAAAAAAGGAATTTGAAATTATTCTAGCCGAATTAATGCCAGATTACTGATGGAACTGGATAACTGATTGCCAGATTAGTGATGGCTGACCTGTATAACCAAACCACAAATTACAAACTTTGTGGGTTGATTTTTTCCTGTCTTATGGTGGAAACAAATTTGCCCTTTTGGTCAGAGATGTTCTTACTGTGTCCCTCAATAAAATCTTAAAATCATTATTTGAGATATTTTACACATGCTTCGGGGTTATATAATTTGCTTATTTATTTTTCGGTGGGTCCAGGTATTACACTGTGTACTGACTAAGTATGTCAGTAAGACACAACATGTGGTGTATGGTATTGTATTGAGAAGATGTGCCCACTTAGCAATTCTGTGAGAATTGATAGCCGTAAACTGCATATTATGACTTAACATTTTATTGGGTCCTGTTGGCAGTTGGATTATCATCATTATATTCAGGGAAAGCTCTAGACCCATAAGGATCACACATTGCCTTGGAAATAAAAGGCAATCAAGTTTCATCTGAGGATGGGAGGATGAAACTAGATCAAGAACCCTTGAACTACAGTGAACCCTTGATTTAACAAACTTGGACAATACAAGACAAAATTTGAAGGGTCATTTGATTTGGAAATGACATACAGTGTACTTTGGTTATAAAATTGTTCATTATTATTATGTTCATAAAATAATATCTGTTTGCCACAGTAGCCATTACTGGCTATCTGCTCCTCTCTTATTATTCCTTTAAATTGAGGGTTTAATGTAATAATTTTTTGGGAGCGATTGGGTTTGTGTTATTTTCGACAACTTTTCAACACCCATACTTACTGGTGACAGTTTTGGGAAGGAGGTGATAAATATTTTTGATGGGTAACTGGATAAGCCCTTTGAGCAGTTCAACCTAAATACGATTGTGCCTTAGAAATGTCTAAGAGGAGAGAAAGCTTTTGTTGTGTAGATGAGATGTGTATGGTGGAGACATGGTATGCGTGTATTTGCAGCTTGTGGTGGAATTAAATGCAGCATGATGGTGACATGACCTGCTCAGTAGTGTTGGGAGCAGCATGATGGTGGCATGACCTGCTCAGTAGTGTTGGGAGTAGCATGATGATGACATAACCTGCTCAGTAGTGTTAGCAGCATGATAGTGACATGACCTGCTCAGTA